TGCCATTTGGTAATCATCATACTTATAGTAATAAATCATACAACTAGGCTTATCATAACATGTACATAATTAAATGTACTCACCTGACTTTCCTTGCTATGTATCCAAAACGTAAGGTTGATTACTCCGGTACTTTGCCTTTGCCCTTAGTTTTACTTGCCTCGAGAGCTTGGTTCCGATCTACTCAAGCATCTATTAAAACAAGCATCAAACCTAAAGTTAGTATTTTTCTCTAACCATTAACTTAAACAATACTCAAAAGGGCATATCATTAACTTTCTATAACAATATCAGCCTATTTTTATCATTTCTGGCTTTATTACTACTACCCTAGTACCGATACTTCTATACTATGGTATCGATACCCACTTATGGTATCGATACCCCTTCTGGTATCGATACTGATTTTAGGTTTGATGTTGCCTAGTATCGATACTCTTACTATGGTATCGATACTACCATACTATGGTACCGATACCCCCTTACGGTATCGATAACTATTTTTTATTCGATGTTGCTTGGTATCGATACCCTTATCATGGTATCGATACTACCTCTTCGGTATCGATACTGATTGAATTAGTATCGATACTACTAAGTTAATCCATCTCATTTTAGCCTATAGTATCGGTACTGTTCTATCAATACCGATACCCTTACCCATATTTTCCATTTTTTAACCTATTTTTTAGCCAAATGGGGTCCAATTTCTTTATATTTATACCCAACAATGCCATTTAACTCTTCTCTACTTATATTTACTAACTTTCCTTTATTTAGCCTCTTAAAACTTCTAAAATCTTTCAAGAACATTCAATTCTAAGAATCAAACCACTTTTTCTAATATGTTCTTAATCCTATCTAATGCTTTTATTCTCTCATTTACCTCTTTGACAAGTCAAATCTACCAATAACTATCAATAAAAACAATATACTAACATATCATTTCAAAACCCATTTTCGAAAATCTACCATATTTCCTTCATTTCATAGTTTTAACATCATTTAATCCTTCCTTAAGCTTCTATATCACTTAAGGTTACAAGAACTACCCATAATCGAAAGACAAAAAAATCAAATAATTAAAGTTTACCTTTAGAGCTATGGAGGATAGCAAACCCACGGGGAAGAAGGAATAAGAAGAAAAATAGCTTCTTTAGCTTACTTTCCCCTTTTTATTTAAACCCTTAGAATTTAAATGGGTTTTAAATTCATTTCACTTCAAAGGACCAAAATGCCCTTTTATTATTCTATCTCTTACACATTGGTCTTACTTAAGTCATTTCTTATATTTTACCTTTTTATTCAATTTAGTCCTCCAATTTTTTAATTCCTTTCAAATTAGTCACTGACCTACTATTTGGGGTATTACAGAGACTCTGCGACAAACAAACATTTTATTAATATAAATTATCAAGCCTTTAAGATAGATAAAGGATATTCAAATTTTTACAAATATCAAGACTAGACCATCAGATAGAGTTGAACGACCTATCCTCGTTAAATTAAATATAAGAATATCACCTTTTATATCCTCCTGGTCGATTTTACTTATTTATTTTAAATTACCATAACCGAACTACTAGTTAGATTAAGACAACCATTTTCGGTAATTTAAAATAACTAAATATTACCATTTAATTAGATTATGGAAAGGTCGAGTTATACATGCGAGAATGTCATACTTTTTGATCAAATAAAGATGTCATGCAATCAATAACATGCTTCAAGAAATATTAATTAAATGATTAAATAAAAGAATAAATTTAATTTAAAACTAGAATTGATGATGATAATAATAATAATTAAATGCATAAAGAGAATAAAAAATAATTAAAAGTATAAATATAAAAGATATGAACATTAAATGTAAAAAGATAAAACTATCGAAATTACCAAAAACTAATAAAATAAGTAGTAAATATTATAATAAATATATCAATTAGAAAAATAAAAGAAAGTAAGAAAATATAAATAATGTATATGGCAAGAAAGAAAAATAATAATAATGATAATAATACTAATACTAATAATTAAAAAGAGTATATAAGGATGCATGTCAAATTAAATATGTAAATATATATATATCATCTATATTCATATAAAATATAAAAACGTGAGAAGAAAAAGTATAAAAAATAATTTGTAAGAATTATATATAGAAACATAATATAAATAATATTATATTAAAAACTATACTATAAAAAGGTAAAATAGAAAATATGAATTTAAAGAAAAATTATCGGTTTTCTCATAAAACTTAAGGAACGACGGATTTTAAAAAATATATTCAAAAATATTTTTTCTTGTTCTTCGGTTTTCTATCTTCCGATAGAATTTTAAAAAAAAAGAAGTAAGACCAAAATTTACCAAAATAACAAGACACACAAATAAAACAAAGTTAAAAAATAAAAATAAATAATCAGTTTTCACTGAGAAACCTCAAGGAGTACTATATTTAAAAAAAATCTATTTGAAAATATTTTTCATGTTTCTTGGTTTTTTCTCCTCCAATACAATTTTGAATGGAAAAAATCATGACTGATCGAAACAACAAGGATAAAAATAAAAAAGAAATAAAAAGAGAAGTATTATGAAACAAAAATTCTATTTTATTGTTTTTGTTATCATATTATAATATTTTGGGTGGCTCTCTATTTTCTATGTTTTCTCTCCTCTCATTTTTCTCCCATTTTCTAACCAAAAGTGTCTCCCAATTACAAAATAAAAGTTTTTATTTATAGGCTCCAAAAAAATCTTAAAAAAATACACCATCTCCTTATTCATCCTAGATACACTAATTAAAAGAAAAGAAATATTAAAATAATAAAAAGATAATAAATTAACTTAAATAAATAATGAAATGTATAAAGTTGAATATAATCATAAATAATCAACAAGATAATTGAAAATTCATAATATATTAAAATTTTCATATTAGACTACTACTCAATTTTTTGCACGCAATATCTTCACTAAAATAAGCATATCTTGAGTTTCTGATGTTCGATTGAGACGTTTCAAAATACGTTGATAAGTTAACTGAAAGCCTGTTCTATTTCAAGAAGACAACATCATTGAAAAGTTCATATTCTTCTTGAAAATTTATTGTAAGTCAATTGATGTTTCATGCTTTAAAATCAAGTTTAATAAAAATATTTCGGTTTTAAAAAAGATAGACCGAACAAAAATCAGGTATTACATGATCATGATCCAAACAATAGTCGCGAAACCTGTTAAATGTAATTAGTTTATGTATTATGGGTAAGTTATAAATTTAGGTATCGTTTTCTAGTTTAATTATTTTAAGCTCCTATAATTTAGTTATATTATTTCTTTTTTTTTGGAACAATATTAAAATTTCAAAATTTGAAATATTTAAGAAAAAAATTGATTAAATTTGAGTATATAAACTAAATCTATAATGTATGCACAATATTGAGACTAATATTACAATTTGACCATTTATAATGGATGATATTAATATTGTACTAAATATGAAAGTTGACTAATGTTAGGTATATATTCGAGTTAATTGCATCATATATCTTTAAATTATGATTTTTATTTTAAATTAATCATTAAATTTTTAAACATTCTAATTTTATCCTTAAACAATGACTATCATTTTAAATTAGTCCTCAAACTTTTGAATATTTCACTTCCATCCCTAATCTATGACATTCATTATAAATTGGTCCCCAAACTTTTTGAATATTCCAATGTCATCCCAAACTATATGTATATACTAATCACACCCCTTCTTAATAAAGCTATTAGGCCATGTTATATTATTATATGTTTAAAAAAAATTAGGCTAAATTATGGATGAAACTAATTACATAATTGAATGAATTTGGGGATGAAATTGGAAGATTTAAAAGTTTGAGGGCCAATTTAAAATGAGGGTCGTAGTTAGGGATGAAATTGGAATATTCAAAAGTTTAAGAACTAAGTTAAAATGAAAGTCATAATTTGAGGATGAAATTGAAATATAAAAAAGTTTAAGAATTGATCTAAAATGAGGTCATAGTTTGGGGACAAATGATGCAATTAACTCTATATATTTTAAGCAAATATCGCTTTACTTTCTATTATAAGACTTGTCCATTGGTTAAGTTAGATTGGTTTTTTTAACAAATCAATTAAAATTTAATATGTGAATTTTAAATTTAGATTATTTTAAAATTGAATAATTTAGAAATTATTTCTTTTTTGATTTATAGTTACTTTATAAATTAAAATTTAATGATGAAATTGGATTAAATCTGTCTCAAATTTATCATATTAATTAATTTGTATCTAAAAGAAAATTATTTCTTTTATATGAAATATATATATTGTGTTTCTAAATTATGATTAAATGATTGTTTTGATCAATTTTTTTAAAAATTATAAAATATCAATAAATATATTGGATTGTTATAAATATGCGACGTTATAAAATAATAATTAAAAAATTTATTAAACTATTATAAAAAATCATTACATTTGGTCAAACTATTAAAAAATCATTATTAAATTTATCAAACTTCCCTTTTATTACTGCAGCGTCACAAATATTCTTCTGTAACATTTCGATAAACATAATGATTAGTTTATAATTTGTAAAAGTTTAATGAATAAAATAATCATATGATCATACTTTAGAGACCTATATCGTAATTTACTCCTTTTAATGGTTGGTTTTGACTTTTACAAATGCATGGTAATGTCTACCTTTCTTACCACAGCATGGTAATTACGTAATTATTCAAAAGTCAGTGCCTTGTTTTAGAATAGAATCTTACTTGCCTCGGTGTCAGTGTCGCTGGTAAGCTAAGCCCCCTTTGCCGTTCTTCTTCATTGTTTCTTTTCTTTATCTGTGTAAAAGTCGCCGGAAAACTGCAATAACGTCGCCGGTTTTTGTTTCAGCCTTCCGCTTGATTACAGAACAGCTAGTGGTTTTCCGTTAATCGGATTACATTATCCCTTCCAATGCATTTGCCTTGAGAGGAACAATGGGTTGCGTCTTCGGAAAGCAGTCACGGGAACCGAAAACGGATCGCCAGCTTCGGAGCAACACCTCCGCTTCATCACATCCTCCGCTTACTCTTCTTCGCCGGGGCTCCGGTGAGCCTTTCACGGAAGTTTCATTCACTGGTGCCGTGGACCCCGTCGGGGATGTCAAAGACCGGGAGAGACATACTGGGGACTTCCCGGTGAGAATTCCGGCGCCGGAGAGATGGCGGATGTCTTCGGACCTGAACCAGAAAGGGTGGCCGTCGTGGTTGATGGCGGTAGCTGGTGAAGCCATCCGTGACTGGACCCCAAGACGTGCCAACACCTTTGAGAAGCTGGACAAGGTATATCTATTCTTCTTTTTTCTTTAAGCTTAATTGAAACCTTCCTTTGCTATAATCATTTTAAGAAATCTGGGTTTCTTTGTTTTTTTATTAGATTGGGCAAGGGACTTACAGCAATGTATACAAAGCCAGGGATCTATTAACGGGGAAGATAGTGGCGTTGAAGAAGGTTAGATTTGATAATTTGGAACCAGAAAGTGTAAAGTTCATGGCCAGAGAGATTCTTGTATTGAGGAAGCTTGATCATCCAAATGTAATCAAGCTTGAAGGCTTAGTTACTTCAAGAATGTCTTCTAGTCTTTACTTGGTGTTCGAATACATGGAGCATGATCTTGCTGGCCTTGCTGCCTGCCATGGAATCAAGTTCACTGAACCCCAGGTACCATTCTTTTCATAAAATGGCTTCTCAGTTAATTGTTGATTAGTGCTGGGTTTTACCTTTAAGATTGATTACTTTGCTTGGATCATGGAAAACCCTTTCGGGAAATAAACACGGTAGAAAGAGCATAATTTAACCTAATGTTGAAAAAGAAAAATACAAGAGGAAGATAAAACAACTTAACTTCTAACACCTAGTATCTATTTATAAGGATAGATACTTGATTACAAAGGAAACTTGTAAAGTAGAAATATACTCAAAGTAGTTTTCTACATTTGATTCGAGTGAAACACTAACATTTCCAATTTTATCTTGCTTGTCTACTTGAGATTTTATGATATGTATATGATTTTTGTACTTTTTGTTTCTTTGTGCTGCTTGTTGTGGAACTTTGATGTTGCTCTCAAGTATTTTAGCTTACTACTTGGATCCCATGACTGATAGTTTAGAGACCCTATTTTGCCTATTGAGCTTCTTAGATATCTTTGTTTTAGTATTGTTTTTGAGTGAGCAAATCATGGAAATTTCATGCTTTACATCAAAATTTTCAAAAGTTAGTAGTATACTTGCTTATTGATCTTTTGGTTGCCGGAAACAGAACGGGTTGCTATAGTTATAAACAGATTGTTCACTGCCATTTTAATTCTCTCATCCTCACTTACCTTTGCAGCTAAATACGAAATCATCTTTGATTCCTACAAGTTATCTGCAAATGAAATTTTGGTTTTGCATATAAGCTTATAGACTAGTTGCTTGTTTGTTTTAGGATGTTGGTTCGGTGCTGAACTTAGATAATTGTTGCTCAATGTTGAAAAATTCTGAGAAATGGCAGTAGTTTGTCGATTACGATGCTATATGTGAAGGTGTTTCTAGGAGGGATTAGAAATAGTTAAGCCTTAAGAATGATTATCTCAAATCAAATGCTTAACTTCAAGGTAAAATCGAGATTATTTATTGCCATAGCGTTCCTTAGGCTCGACGATTGCTTTGTTTTGATTTTTCTTCCCTTTGGTAGGTGAAGTGCTATATGAAGCAGTTACTTTCAGGGCTAGAGCATTGCCACAAACAAGGTGTTCTGCATCGTGATATCAAGGGTTCTAATCTCCTTATTGACAATGGAGGGATTCTAAAAATTGCTGATTTCGGACTGGCTACCATTTACAATCCCGAACAGAAAAAACCCTTGACGAGCCGAGTAATTACTCTCTGGTATCGTCCACCTGAACTACTTCTAGGGGAAACTTGTTATGGTGTTGGGGTTGATCTCTGGAGTGCTGGTTGCATTTTGGCCGAGCTACTTTATGGGAAGCCTACAATGCCAGGAAGGACAGAGGTATTGGTTTTTCTGTCTCTTTCTTCTATCTGCTCTTACAATCTGTTATGAAATATTTCAGTTTTTGTAAATCTGATGGAATTATGCTTAGAGATTTTCTTTTGTGGGGAGACCTTTGGTTGTATGATCATGATATGGAGTATCGAATCAAGCCGAATAATTGCGCTACAACGAGTTGATCCCGGAATTTATGCTATAATCATAAACGGGTTCTCATCGGATTCTCAGTAAATGCTGCAGTATGAGTATGCAATTATCTTCCATCTGTAACATCATGTTGTTTTTTCTCCTGCTTAGGTTGAGCAACTGCATAAGATATTCAAGTTATGTGGATCCCCTTCTGAGCAATATTGGAAGAAATCCAAATTGCCAAATGCAACACTCTTTAAACCTCAGCAACCATACAAACGCAGCATAGCTGAAACTTTCAAGGATTTCCCATCATCTTCTTTACCTCTCATCGAAACTCTTCTTTCAATAGACCCCGAAGAACGAAGTACTGCCACTGCAGCACTTAACAGTGAAGTGAGTTGTGTCAACTTTTTTTAATGCATAATATTCATGTTATCTATAAATTGTTTGTGAAATACTTAATTTCCTGTTTGCAGTTCTTTACCACTGAAGCTTATGCTTGTGAGCCGTCGTGTTTACCGAAGTATCCTCCCAGTAAAGAAATGGATGTAAAATTGAGAGACCAGCAAGCCAGAAGGTTGTCTGGCTTTCCTTTTTCGCCTTTCGTTTTCGTTTTGCAGTTTGGCTATATTCTGGCAACTGATATAAGTGTTTCCTATATAGGCAAAGAGGTCTAGCCGGAAAGGTTAATCCTGTTGATGGTGCAGGGAAAACTAAAGCCGGTGAACGTGCTAGTCGGGCGGTTCCTGCTCCCGAAGCAAATGCTGAAATTCAAGCAAACTTAGATGTGAGTGGGGACTTCACTCTTGTTCTATATGTTCAAAGTCTCTGCACTTGCTAAATGCACTTGTTTTGGAGATTTATTGCAAAGGAAGTTTCCGAGTCGATGCATATTATTTGCCATCTAAACTAGTCCGGTTTTGAATATCGATTTGACAAGGATACATGTTTCATTGATGGTTTACCAGAAATGGAGAATGATGACACAAACAAATGCCAATGCCAAGAGCAAGAGTGAGAAATTCCCACCTCCCCATCAAGATGGAGGTGTGGGGCATCCATTAGATGCATCACATAAAGGGCCTCCATCATTTGCTGCAACCGGAACTTCTTTCAGCTCATCGATTTTCGTCTCCAAGTTATCCGAATCCGGACCTGCCGGCCATGCTTCCAGAAGAAGGAAAACCAATAAAGATCCCCGGAGGGCTCCATCTCGGAAGTTCATTCGTGGTTTCAAACCGTCGTCGATAGGCCTATCTATGGATTTTCTACTCCGGGGTAAGTCCGGGGGTGTTTCGTAGCCAGAATTAGAATAGTTTCCCAAGTTTATAGACCCATATGTTTTAAGCAACTTAAAGATGTAGTTTTCCCATTACGTATTTATTTGTATCTGATCATACGTGCACACGATGCAGTCCCACTTTTTGTTGTACAGTCTCTCAATAAGCACAATTTAGTCCATTGAACAATTTATTTTTCAAATTATTGGGGGACCTAAATTCGATGTAACTCGAAAAAATACCAAAATTTTTGGCTCGACTCAAAAGAATCCAAATTCGAGTTGATATATAAAATAGACCTCGAATATTTAGAATTTTTTAATAATTAATTGATTGATTTTCAAGTTCGAATCGAATCCTCGACTCAAAATGTTATATGTATATAGTATATGAAAATTTATGAAGAGATAGATATTGATGTATATCTTATATGGTTATAGAAAATCATTTTATTTGGAATCAAATAGTATCATAACATTATAAATATTTACAGTCAAATTTAAACAAAAACTCGAATAACTCGACTCGACTCTAGTTTCATAATCTCAACTCAACTAGAAAATTTTCAAATAAAGAAGTTGTGATACTCAACTCGAATAACTCAATCTTTTACCCAACTCGATCGAATACTTAATCCTACAAACCACAATTTCGTCAATCATCTCGATATGATGGAAGGGGTTTAAATGTTCTAAAAAGTTGAGTTTTCGAACATGAGATTCGAACCGAAACCGATTGAATTCAAGTAAAGAGAGACGAAGTAATAAACTCTCTTTTCTCTTTTACTTTTTAGACGGTCAAGTATAAACAACCTAACGTTGTCGTATATACAGAAACCTCAATCACTACCATCACGTACGTATTGGCAGCATGGTTTGATGTGAATCAAGTTGTTCATAGTTTTCCCACCTCTCCAAATTCCCATCCCTTTCGATTCACACTTCAATTTTGATTTCGATTCCTAAAAGTAATAATAAGTTCGGGAACCTGTATTATTTGATTTGACTCGATCAGATTCGATTCCCGTCTCGCTCTTTATACGTTAATACAAATATAAAAAACACATCTGATATTAAATTACCACGGAGGATGTTGGGGATCCAAGCTTCACTGCAGCTTTCATACCTGCATGCATGAAACTTAAATCGACCTCGTATCTGTGACTGTAATTTAAATCTTCTGAATTAAAAACAAAAATAGAGAAAAATATATATAGAGACATGTTACCATCGTTCTCCTCAATCTCCCTGATGGACGGGAGGACGTAAACCCTAAAACTTGGTGAGCTCGGACCATCTGCGTCGTAAAACCCTAAATTCTCTTTGTTGTTGTTATCTACGAGGTTGAAGGTTTGAGCTTCTTTGTTATCATTATTGGCATGGGCATGCTTGAGATGTTCACCATTGCCGTCGATAACCTTTTCCCTTCGTCTCCAAATCTCTGTCCTACGTCAGAGGACCGGAGGCAGTTTAGGCAGCAGCATTTCTCTCCACTTGTTTGCTGCTCCGCCGCTGCCCCTTCGTTTCGGAAATCGAGAAACCGACGGAAATACGTGGGGATGAGCAGCCAAATGGATAGGTTTGGGTTTATAATTCTTCATGGCCAATGATTATGAGGAGAGGAACACTTATACCTATAAAAAGATGAGGCAAACCGCATGCAGATGTCATATATTTGGCTTCAACTTCTTTGCTAATTATGGACGCATTATGTGGTGCATGGGATACAATAGCAATGTTGTTAAATCCATTACTACCATCCTTTGTCTTACCATTCATTTTTGTTTTATCACTGATTATATTTTTATTGTCATTAATTTTTAAAAATTTCATTTCGATTTTTAAAGTATTCTATTTTTTTTATATCTCGGACTAAGGGTGCTCATTGAGTAGAACGCTTGTTGAGCAACTTCAGTTCACTTCAGTCAAAATTTAATTATAAGTCGATTTGATTCGAAACTTGAGACTTTAATAAATCGAGTTGAAGAAGTTTTAACTTAACTCGATAAGATGTTCCAACATTAAAAAATCAAAACAATTCTAGAAGACTAAGTTAAAATTTTGGGAGGAATATTTCAAAATATTTTCTCAAAATTAAAAGAAAGTTTTGAGACTGTTCAGAATTTTTAAAAGATAAAATACATTTCAAAGAGCCTTTAAAAATAAAGACTGAGCGATAAAAAGCAAAACGATATCAAATTTAAATAATTAAATTGGAATTTTTTAAAATTTAATAATCAAACTATAAATATAATCTATTAGTTCTACTATGGCTCCTATATATATCCATCCCCAACCTTTTCACTTATTTTATAAATGCATTCAAATTGTAATTAAATCATCAGTTGTTTATATAAAATAAAAAGAAAACTTTTTTTGAATTAATTACTAGTATTTGATCTATTGACCGACTAATCTAGATCAGGTACTGTAGAGGCGAGGGTGACTCTCCCAAGTTAATTTGCTCAATTCACAAACGCCAGGGGTCGAACCCTTGACCTTGCTTAAGAGACCTAGTGCCTCATCCCACTAGACCAACAGATTGTAAACGAATGAACGAGAACTCGAGAAGATCGAATGAGGGAAAGGAACCTGGACGTAGGGATGTAAACAAGCCAAGTCGAGCTCGAGTCTATATATGCGAGGGTGACTCTCCCAAGTTAATTTGCTCCATTCACAAACGTGAGGGGTCGAACCCTTGACCTTGCTTAAGGGACCTAGTGCCTCATCCCACTAGACCAACCAATTGTAAACGAATGAACGAGAACTCGAGAAGATCGAATGAGGGAAAGGAACCTGGACGTAGGGATGTAAACAAGCCAAGTCGAGCTCGAGTCTGTAGATGCGAGGGTGACTCTCCCAAGTTAATTTGCTCCATTCACAAACTTCAGGGGTCGAACCCTTGACCTTGCTTAAGGGACCTAGTGCCTCATCTCACTAGACCAACCGATTGTAAACGAATGAATGAGAACTCGAGAAGAACGAATGAGGGAAAGGAACCTGGACGTAGGGATATAAACAAGCCGAGTCGAGCTCGAGTATTGTTAAGCTCAACTCGACTCGAAAACTCTAAAATGAAGCTCGACTCAGTCAAAAACTCATGAACCTAAAATTTTTGAGTTCGACTTGAACTCGAAACCATGAATTGAAGCTAAAAAACGTTCGATATGAAAAAATTAACTCGATTAAAGCCTCAAAATTAAACTTAAACCTTAAATATATAAAAAACTTGTACTTTATTTAAAAAGCGCATAAATATTAATATTATTAATTTTTTTTAAAATAAAATCTTAATATATTATACTTTCAAGTTGATTATATATTTTTGTGTTAAATTCAAGTAACTCGTTTCGACTCGTTAGTAATTTAAGTTAAACTTTAGTTTAACTTTAACCAAATAGATATCGAGTCATCATCTCATCTCATCTACGGTCATACCTGAACGGATACGACGACGTGCCAAAGAAGTAAAGCAAAGGACGTTTCTTCTACCGCTTCTTGCAACGAACCATCAACCGAAAACGGCATCGTTTCAGAAGAGCGGTGGAGGCCTATGGAAGATGGCAAGCTCTCTTATCTTCCTTATTTGGTTCACCAAACACCAATCCAATATTTTCAAAAGATCCATACGAATAGAAGAAAACTTGAAAAAGCGGGCTCCTAATCATTCAACCCGAAGAATTGAAGCGGTTAAAGACGGTGGTCGGCGGGTAATCGGAGGAGAGAAACTGAGTGGAAATGCCGGCGGAGGATTTGTTGGATATAAAGTTCAGGCTTTATGACGGGTCGGATATTGGGCCGTTTCCGTATTCGGCGGCATCCACGGTTGATATGCTTAAGCAGAGGATCGTCTCTGATGGCCCAAAGGTTTCCTCCTTTAGATTAGTTTCATTTCTTCTATAATTGCTCACGACTGTTGGGTTTTATTTACTTACATTTATGGAAGATTTCTGGTAAAATTTGGAATGATTTGCTATATGGTATACAGTAATTGTGAAGACCGATGAACAAAGCAATGGGGTTTGCATTGGAATGCAGGTTAGCAGAGTTTTATGGTAGATGATTCGCTGGAATTAGGGTTCTTAGGTAGCCTTAAAAAGGAGGAGATAATCATTCTATATTATACAGTACTTTCATTGTCGATGCCATTGGCTTGTCCTTTATATTCGATTTGAAAATTATTAGTAAGAGCTGCAGTATGTTCTTATGGATGTAGATTCAGTGGAAGGCTAAATTTATCTGTATAAACTGTAAATGCTTGTTGTTGAAATGATAAAAAATTGATGTTATCTTCATTCTTTTTTGAGCTACAAATATCGTCTCTGACGGCATTGATTTCGTTCCATTTGTTATCTATGAACAATATCATAAGGAAGTTTTAAAGGCTAACAGTTTCAAGCATTTTGTTTTAATTATCTTAGATGCTGTTGTTTCCCTTCCTCAGGTAAGACGATTATTCCAAAGGCGGTGAATGAAGTCAAACTGATCAGCTCGGGTAAAATTTTGGAGAACAATAAGACTGTTGGTCAGTGTCAAGCACCCTTTGGGGAAGTTGCAGGTGGAGTTATCGTAATGCATGTTGTAATACAGCCAGCTCTTGCGAAGACTAAAACAGGTATTCGCTATAACTGACTACTAGTGATTGCCAAAAGCCGAAACTTCGATTATTTACATTGATGGTTAATGAGCATGTTGCTCCGAGTTATGGTGAACATATCAGTTGCCATCTTTGCCTGTTTTCATGATAGAGAAATCCCCCTAGCCATTGCTGCAACATTCCATAATTCTTCATGCTGATAAGATCTGTTATCGGGATTGCATTTCGTCTTTTAGGTCAATAATATGCGAGTCAATGAGTCTCTACAATTATAATTAGTGTACCTTTACTTGCCGTTTAAGTAGAAAGTAGAAATTTTATCCAAGTGGTGGACATCTGCATTTCTTGATACTTCATATGTCAAACTCTTCAACTTACGCTTGGTTTTTGGTCTTAACAGAAAAGAAGATTGATGATTCACCCAGAAAGATTGTTTGCTCATGCTCCATTTTATGAAGGCAAACACATAGAGTTGGAAAATCCTAAACATCCGTTCTTCCTGTATGTAGATTGCAAAGTTGTGTACAAATTCACAACGGAGTG